TATATATATATATATATATATATATATATATATATATATATATATATATATATATATATATATATATATATATATATATATATATATAAATACTGTACTGATTCAATGAAACCTATAAGTGAAGTGAAAGGGATCTATATATATATATATATATACTGTACTGATTCAATGAAACCTATAAGTGAAGACTCCTGAAAGGGATCTATATGGGAAAGAGTTGAGACTGCCAATTCCTTAAAGCTTTAGTAATTTAGATTTTAGGATTTCTCACGTGATCAGTGAAACGATCTATATTCCATTAGTACATATGTATACAACAATAATATTTATTGGAAGCCATGAATACCTGAATTAACTCGAAACGATGAAGGGGTCAAGGAAGGAATTATCAGCAATAGTAGATCTATGTAGATAGTGACACGGATGTAAGTCTAATACACAGTTAATAACTATGAGTTGTTTGTATCCATGAAAGCAGGCACCATAGACCAATATATGTTGGCATGCTGGGGGGATAGATTGTCGTTTAATGGCAATTTTATTAAGCATTTCAGTGATAACGATATTCGTTTCTTGCGGTAATATGAAAGGAAGAGTCCTTACAGCAGTCTTTACGCATTTCCGTTTCTCAACAAGTGTACTGACGGTATCATAATGATCATGCATGCATTTCAATCAAGTTCAGCTACTTTGTTCCCCCTCAACATAAGCATTGCTTTTTCCTGCGTATATTGGAAACCGACAACTGAGAGATTTAATTTCTAATTTCAATGTTTATTTTAACTTCTGAGAAATGTAATGTTTTGGTTTCATTGAATTGTCATGTAATCAGAATACATTCTTTCTTACCCGAATATCATTTAATTAACCGGCGGGCGAAAGAAACTAAATAAACACTGAGATGGGCAATTCGCTGGCATACCAATTTAAGTTAATTGGTCTATTGCCAGGGCCGGATTAACCTTTCGCGGGGCCCGTGGCATTTTTCCAGCGCGGGGCCCCTACAACCCCCCCCCCCCCCCTCCGGCGGGCTCGAATTCAGAATTCCCTGAAATCAGAAAGATTAAAAATATCAATATTCAATATGTATACCATGATGTGAAAAATTGCCTGTATATTAAAACAAGAACGTATGCACATCAACAATAATAAAGTAAAAGTCAAACCTATAGGCTTTTGGCGCCCTTTTTTCGTCCAGCCACGCGCCAAAAACTGAGTAAAGCGCGGAGCCCCTATAGCGCGGGGCCCGTGGGCAGATGCCCCTTCTGCCATGCAGAAACCGTTTAAGAAGCTGTTTTAAATTACCAAGAGCAGAAAATCGTGCGCGTTACAAAGATATTTTAATTTATTAATAAGTCAATATTTAATATATGCACCAGATATAATATTTTCCATTGTTCGCTACCAAATAAGGGATGACTGCCAAGACATTGTGGACCAAAGAAAAACACAATGGGTACAAGCAGATGGATAAAATGTTTGCACTTGTCACGTAACCACAAGACATTTTTATTTAATGTTTCAAAATCACTTTTAGATGCAAATACGTAAACTTAAACCATAATACAAGGAAAGGAACATATAAAATAACGTTTATATATGTTTACATACCAAATTAATTTGGCAGGTAGAACATATATGCACCCTACAAGATTGGACACACCAGAAATCGATTCTACTGGCTGCCCATGTGTTTCAAGTTCCCGAACTGATAAAATTTCGCTCTGAATCACATATGCACCTAAACCTTCCCGTTTATTTTAATGCCTGGATTTGTCTCTTCGCATTTTGCCACTTTGAAAGGCCAGTACTGCTGATGTGACTGCTTTCACATTTCTGGCATAAACCAAGGAGTGATACGAAGCTGTTCTGCCAGCTGTCCTGCATCCCCACTCCCTTCTCTATATACAGAGTGTATAAAAAAAAAGGTAATCGAACTTCTACGCGCTATTGTATCTGAATTACTCTGCGTATGGACGAGATTTTTTCACATTCGAAAAGATCATGCTTTTAGCTGTTGAACGATATCTTCTTCATGCCAAATGGATAAGAAATGAGCAAGTACGAATCCGATAAAAAATGCTAGTCAGAATCGCATATTTTCACCGTTGAGAGTTGGGTCTTTAACCATTGAAAATGAATCCCCTTTAGGACTTAAGATAGACTTAGAATTTCACTTCATTAAACTGCACACATATTCATAATTATTATTAGGCCCGTTTCATACGCCGTACTTCACATGTGCCGAATACATTAAAAACAATAGGTAATGAGGCATTTCAGCTCATTACCTATTGTCTTTAATGTATTCGGCACATGTGAAGTACGGCGTATGAAACGGGCCTTAAGTAGGAATAAATCGTAGCTAAGCTACGACATGTTCGTGATGAAATAATTAGGTACAGAGGTGAAAATATGCGATTTTGACTAACATTTTTAATCGGCCTCGTACATGCTTATTTTTTCTCCACTTGGCATGAAAAGCATGTCATTCAATAGCTAAAAGCCTGATCTTTCCGAATATGAAAACCAATTGTTCATACGCCGAGTAATTCACGTATAATAGCGCGCTGAATTTCGATTACCTTTTTTTTTATACACCCTGTATATTATTCCCTAAGTCGTCATTTTGAGGCCAGTGTGAATGCCTGAGCAGGCGAGACGGTCTTGTTTTATAATAAAAGGCTTAAATATTTTGTGAACAAGCTTTCGTTGGTAGGACTGCAACTACCTGAAAATATATAAGGAGAATTTTGACGTTTCGAGCGAAGGCCCTTCGTCTGGATTTAGAAATCTTGATTTAGAAATTTTTCTTAAAATTTTTAACTGTTTTTCCAAACGTTTTCAACTCTCAAATTGTTTATTAGACATTTATTGGTTAGGGTTAGGGTTAGGGTTAGAGAAAGGTTGGTGGTTGGGGTCAGTTTATTTTATAAAAATCGAAATTTAACAATTAAGTTGCTGTACGAATAGCGAACCGATGTTCGGATATACGGGTGCCGTACGAATAACTCTCTGTCAAAGCCACTTGGCTATCTTTAAAATAGAGATCGCCGGATCGGGGAATGCAGTTGCGAGAATGGAGAAATGGAGGACTGGATGAATGTTAACCGGCCGATAAAATTGCGTTGCACAAAGCACGTTTAGTACCGCGTTTAACTATCCGTAGGATAACCTTTACATTAACCGGATTTAATTTTCCTGAAATGTTTTACCTCTACGTCAGCTGTTGCTAGGCATTTGTGAACTTTGGAAGCTTTATGTAACTTGCGAACCCACTAAGATTGTTGTTGTTTATATTTGGATTTTCCTTGTACGCGTCCATTCGTAGGAATACTAGGCCTATACCAAACTTTTTATTTTCACACTAGTGCTGTCCGCTGAGATTCCCAGTTTACTTTTTCATATTTCTTTGATGAAAGATTTTTGCAGGGATGGATCCAGCATGATCTGGAAGGGGGAGGGGGGGGGGGTGTGCTCTGCCAGCTCTGGTGCCGAGTTGTGTCGGTCAGAATAGAATAGAATAGAATAGAATAGAAATCTTTATTTACCCACGTAAAAACTCATTCAAGTTTTAGCGACCTCTTAAATTCTGTTAGCGAATTAGCCAAGCGAACATGTCTTGGAAGAGAATTCCAGATTACAGCTCCGCTGTATGAAAAACTCTTTTTGAGAAGATTGCTCTTTGGTTTTGGAGGTAAAAGATTTAGATCAGAGTTTCGCAAATTATGATCATGTACTTAAATGGTTTCGCGAAACAAATATTTTAAATAGTTATGCAGGAGCCAAGTTGTTAAGCACTTGGTACATCATGATAGCTTTTTTATATAGTTCTTCGCTCATGAGCAAGTGCACGCCACCTAAGTTCAACAAGTAATTCACTAGATGAAGCGTCATACGCGCCCTTTGTGATGATTTTGGCTGCCCTGTTTTGCAATTTTTGCAATTTTTGGGATAGGCCATCAGACAGAGTGTCCCAAACTTTGCTACAATAGTTTAGTCGTTGTTCAACTAAGCTATGGTAAATTAGTAACAGATTTTGTCTGGACATGAAAGAGCTAACACGTCGTATCATTTTTAAAGCTCGAGTAATTTTTTCGATTAATTCATTGTCGTGATCGTTCTAACGAAGATGCTCATCGTAGATTAATCCTAATATTTTTTATTTTGAAACTCGCTTGAGAATGTTATGATTGAGTATTAGGACTGGTTCATGGTCCAAATTACTTAGTCTGTGGTCAGTTCCAATTAACATGTATTCGGTTTTAGCGATGTTGACTTGTAATCTGTTAGCACAAAGCGCAGCCATACTTCAATTTCAGCTAGATCTTTATTTAGCTTAATTTCAAGTTCACATATATTCTGCGATGCAGTATACACTTGAGTATCATCAGTATAAAGGTCAGCTTTGGAATTAACAAGGCAGTTTGGAAAATCATTGATAAATGTTAGAAATAGCAATGGACCCAAAATTGATCCTTGTGGAACAGCGCATTTAATAATAGCTTCATTTGACAATTTCATATTTACAAAAGATTTTTGGTGCCTATCGCTAAGATAGCTTTTGAACCAATGCAGAGTTACCCCTTTAAGGTTACAGGACACCCTTTTTGGCGTTTGGCGAAAAATCGCTACTGCGCGCTCAATATCAGTTCGATTTTCATCAAATTTTCACCAAATGTTCTCCAGTGCATGCAAAATATGGTAAAGTTGTAAAATTAACAAA